CACACACACACACACACACATGCCGCAGGGCTTTTAGGTGAAGCCTATGTGCAGAGGGCCAGCCCAGATCCCAGCACTGAGTTTAAATGAAGTCAGGAGGAAGGAAGCAGTTTAGGATGGAGAGCTGTTTGTGGCTAAAACGTTGCCGTTCGAGTGCAACACAGCAGTATCAGTGCATTAAGGCGAATTATTTTCCATCCTCATGCATCACATTCTTGTGCTCACCTCAGAAAATAATTTACTGTAGAGCCCTGTGAACCGGCTCCTCTGTAAATTAGACCTGAGAAATGAAAGAGCACATGTTGATTGCTTCTCCCTGCAGTTCATTTACTGTGGGTTTCCTCTCTGGCTGTCTTCCAGGTGAAAGCGAGACTGTCCACAACCGCCCTGGAGACTCAGGTAACAAACCGCACGCTCACACACAAACAGCGACAGGTCGCCTCAATTCAGCAGACCAGTCAGATCAACTCGTGCTGTTTGTTAACACACCGTCTGCGATATGCTCATCGGCTCACAATAGAAAAATAATGAAACTCAAATCAAGCACAGATCGATTTTTCTACCCAGTGAAAAGTCCGTAGGTCGACCCGGCAGCAGACCTCCATCACTGATAATGGAAGCAATCATTCTTTTCGACTTAATGATTCAGATGGAGAGATTCTTTTTTTATATAGTTGGGAGGTTGAAAAAAAAAAAGATCAATTCTGCACAAAATTAGTTGCGATCATTAAATCACGGCGCCACCAGAATAGAGGGCGATGAAATGCTCTACACACTGTCAAGCTGCTCAGATATTTTACAGCAGAATCAATTCGTCTGTCGGAACCATTAACCTCACACTGGGGGTATTTTGGCTTCAGAAAGATGGGTCATAGGCCAATCGATAGGTTACTGTTGTTATCAGGATGTGTCCTCGTCTTACAGTTGATCAGCTCCCCGACAATTTAGCAACGACACACTGCGGACGCTTGACAAAAATAACAGGCCTCTGTGTTTGTTGAGACAGATGTCCGAGTTCACCGGTGTTGCCTTTACTATTCCTAAAATGTTGATCTGAGGCTTTTTGGTCACCCCTGTCGCTCATAAATCCCGCTGAGTGGCGCTGCTCCTTGCTCAGGACATAGAAAGTGCATTTCTATGTACTTGAAAGAACCCTTTGTGTCTTTCAGGGTCACAGTACTGACTGTGCAAATTCAGCTTCAACACCTTTAGAGGAAGCACAAAAATGTGACGGCAACATTTGAATATGGAGATTTACGTTTTCTTGAAAAAGAGCCATTTAAGCAAAGATGTCATGAATACACATGCCTCACATGACTCAGATAAACAGATTTTAATTTCATGTCAGCTTCTTTCGTAGTTATGTAACCTCTAAAAGTTCTCCGAGCATCCAACACGTCCTCAAATCACGAGCCGTTGTTCCTTGGTGCTGCTTTCAACAGCTATTTTATTTTGTCAATTTGCAGTCTGGGGTGAGGAGGAACGGCCGAGTGGTTCAGGGCTATCCGCCCATCGTGGAGGCGCAGGAGGAAGACGAGGAAGACGCAGAGGAGGAGGAAGACGAGGAGGCTATGTCTGTGTCTCTGTCATCAGAGCAGAATCGAGCGGTGAACCTCAGGGACGCAGGTGGGAAGTCTCCTCTGTGCCGGCCCCGTCAAAAGACCATGGCACAGATCTCCAGCAGGTCTCGGAGGAAAATCCAGGAAATTACCCTCACAACTTTGGATCCTTCCAACCTCAGCCCCAGGTGAGTTTGATCACCATTGATTTGTCTGTCGGCCTGTCGAGGCCTGTATCTCTGTGAGTCTGTGTTATGGTATTGTTGTCAGTTTTCAGAGTGGTGCATGTGGTACAAACTATGGCTGAGTCGAAAGCAACTCACAGTGTGTGTGTGTGTGTAGGTGTGTGTGTGTGTGTGTGTGTGTGTGTGTGTGTGTGTGTGTGTGTGTGTGTGTGTGTGTGTTTCAATGCTTAATTTGCTAAACTTTGTCAAACTCAAATTGAATTTAGAGAACCCGATCTTCTTTAATGTGGCCTATTGAGCAGGGTGCAGGGATGGAGGAAGGTTGTTGTTTTTTTTTTGCAAAGGGGAGCTTGACAGAAAATAGAATGAATCAGCAATGAGGTGGTTAGCATAGTTTAGCATAAAGACTGGAAGCAGTTGGAGACAGCTAGCTAAAAAAATGACAGTTGGTGTTTTTACGCTTTTACCCAACCCTCTGAACCTCAGCAGTTTGTGGGCATCTTTGGCTTCAGTCACATTTTTGCTCACTGTTGGATGATTTTATTTTAACTTCAGTATAAAGTCCTGCACCGCTATGGAAGCAGCACAAACCATGGATAAAAGTAAAGAGAACGCAAAAAGGTCTATGACGAAGTTAGAATGACATAACTCATGAAAATGAAAAAACACAAAATGGAATTTTATTTGGTTATTTTACAAAGATCTTAAAAACCTAAAAAATCAACATCCGCAATTTTCTTTCCAAAATACCAATACATGTTGCCAATACTGGGAAAAAAGTGGTGACTCTACTAAAAATGTATTTTTTTGGCGTTGTTGTAACGGTGAACTTTCCCCACTGTGGGATCAATAAAGTTTATCTTTAATTGGCTTTCACATAGAAACTGACGCCTTTCTACTTTAATGGCACTCAAAGTGTTTCTCATTCACCCATTCACATACACAATGCCAACAGAGCTGCCATGTGCCTTCCTGCTATTGGTAATATTAGTTTGGCTTCAGTGCCACATGTTGGGCGGCGGGGAACTGACCCACCAACCTTGCATTTAGTGGACAACTCGCTCTACCACCAGAGCCACAGCTGTTCAGAGTCTGCAGTTCAACCAAAAACTCTCAGAATTTTTGTCACGTGATTGTTGGTTGCAGCTGAACCAATCATAGCTTCACAGTTTTGTCACAGAGGGCAAAATTTTTCGTTTTTTACAGAATCTGTTTAGAGCAAAATATTTATTTTTGGCAAATATTTAACTGAGACAAGTAATTGTGTGATTTTTATGAAATCTCATGATATTAAGCTTGTGTTTGGGTTGCTTTGTTGTTTGTTTTTTACGCTTTTTTCTCGGCACTTGGGTTCTGGGCTTTAGAGGGACAAAGAGGATGCGTTAATTGGTGAAATTTAAAGGTGCTGGTTGAAGGATTTCATTTACATTCTTAAAGCAAGACTTTTACATATAAATGAACATCTATTGAATTCCAGACCTTGCCAAACAAATTCACACAATGCTGATTGAGCCTATCAGCATTAGATGATTCTCTCTGTATGTCGTGCTATACTGAAGTTTTAAATCTGTTTTCTGTGACGGCAGTGCCGTCCTGAGGAGCTAAGGAGGGGAGCTGTCGTAGACAGAGATGGAAGAGGTGCATTTTGAGAAGTGACAACAGCTACTCGCAGCAGAACCCCAGGAGAAGCTCCAGCGTTTTAATTGGCTTACACACGAGAGTGATCTCAAACTTAACTCTGCAAAAAAAAATGCAAATAAGTTGTTCCTAAAACTGCTCCTTGAAGACCTTGTTTAAGCAACGTCACAATGATTCCACAACCAACTCTTTTGTGTCCCTGCAGGATAGTGGATGGTACTGAGGACAGCGAGGGGACAGAGGGTTCCTTCTCCTTCCCCACCAGCCAAGGTTGTCCCGTCAAAGAACCAACCAGTGCCTCAGCCTCTCCAACAGGTCCTCACATCATCGCACACACAGCAGTAAACCTCTCACATATCACATTTACAGTCGCAGTGAAAAATGTTCTCATGCAAAACGCTGCCGCACTTTGGAGTAATGAGGCTAATTAATGTCTTTGAAAGCCTGCAGTATTTATCTGCCACCTTGATGCAACAACTGTTGGGTGGAAGTTTGCACTCGCTTGAAGTGATTTATAATTTGCTAATTTGTCACAGATTTGCTGCACATCAGCACGGCAGAGTTAGCAGCGAAAGCAGAAGAGACCAGAGGACAACTGCGACACCTCGACCAGCAGGTAGGACTCCCGTGAATCCTTGAATTTTAAGGTTGGTTTGAGGTTAGGATTAAGGAAGTAGTGGCGGGTTAGGGTTAGGTTAAACCTCCAGGAAATGACGGTAAGCCGAGTCCTCTGAAGTGATGGAAACATGACTCTGTATGTGTGTGTGGTGAGACAGAGACAGACAGGTGGGCTCAAGGAAGCACGAGCCATATGGCTGTATCAGCATGTCAGACTGAAGACGGATGAAGGGACTGAAAGAAGTAATGAACCAAAAAATGAACCATAAAACAGTAAATAAGGCCATAAATTCTTCACAGCTTTTTTGGTATTTTTTTCTATGTATAGCAGATTTGCTGTGTACTGTCGCTATACCTATGATTGCATTGGATCCTCTGCATATGTGTCATAGATTTGAGCGCCTCATTGTCCAGCTTGGAATAAGCCATTCACACGTACACACCCAGACTCTCGTGCTGCATCCCGCGGTTTTGAGTGGCGAGTGGCTAAATTGACATTAGACTTTTGGCAGGTGAGGAGGAGTGTTTGCTTCCTCCCGCTAAGCCTCAGTGTGCATCATGGGATGAGCAGAGGCAGAGGAGAAAAGAGACATGAAGAGAGGAAAAACATGAGGAAGAAAAAAAAAAAGATGGAGAAGTAAAATCCTTTGTGTTTTCTTCTTCTCAGAGGAAACTTGATGAAGATTAAAAAAGGAGGAGCGTAAAAGACAATGGCACAGCATTTTCACAGTTTATATACAGACTTTCTCCGTCTCTGTGGGTTACCGCTGCTTGACAGGAAGACTCTCAGCGTGGTCTTGTAGGTTGTTAATCCACACTTGGATCCGTCCACACGGATCACCATAGGCGCTTGATTTGATACGCAAACACACACACACACACACACACACGAAGTGGAAAATGAAGACATCTTATTCTATATGGTGCATTCAGGTACAAGAAACAAAATGATTTATTGTCAATAAATAGATTAATTCAGTTTAATATGTGTTGACTTTACTACATTTGCTTAGCGTTGAGGCAGTAACACGCAGATTGCTGACTCAATCCCCCTCCCTCAGGGGTTTACGGTGGTCAAGTCAAACCAGTCATCCATTCATGCTTCCTCGCTGCTTTATAAAAATACAATAATTAACACAAAAAAAAAGCAAGACACCGATTTTTTAATTAAAATCAGAGAGCGAGGACCTGTTGAGANCGTTTCCCACAGAGTCACGCAGCAAACTAATTTTGTTTCATTTAATTATTTAACCTTTATTTCGACAGGGAGGACCCGCTGAGATCTTTTACAAGGATGCACAATATACAAAACAATAAAGGCGCACAAACGTTACAACAAATAGACCAAGAATACCAAGATGTTCTCTCTTCAACACTCAATTTTCGCAGCTTCTACAGATCGTCCCCTTATGTGGAGAGTCGTAGTTTAAAGACAGTTTCCAAATCTTGGTGTTGACATGATGATTTAATTTGAATTTAATTTATAGTTAAAAAGAATTTTTTTTTTCTGCCAAGTTTGCCAAGAAGTGCCGTGTAAGTAGATAAGATACTGTTTTCTTTGCACTGCTTCAACTGGCACCCAACTGTCTCATACAGAAAACAACGGTGTGTTCTGAACCGAAACTATGGATGTACGATATTGCCTTTTTTCCAATATCCGATATGCCAATATTGTCCAACTATCAATTTCCGATTGCGATATCAACCGATACCGACACCGATACATGTGGGCTATTTATCTATCTTTAGGTAACATCACATATCTCCTGTCGTCATCATGTGCACGGCAGTAAATGTCGGCAAAATCCCGGCATTATTTTATCGGTTTTCATTCCAAGCAAAATAACAAAACGCTAACAATATTGGCAGATATGCAGATATTACTTTTTTATGCCAGTATAACCATAACTGATGATGGATAAAAAAAAAGGTTGACTGAAGGATTTACGTCAGGGGGGGGGGCAATCCTGGTCCTCGAGGGCCACAGTCCTGCATGTTTTAGATGTTTCCCTCTTCCAACACACCTGATTTAAATGATCAGGATTGTTATCAGGCTTCTACAGAGCTTGATGATGAGCTGATCATTTGAATCTGGTGTGTTGGAAGAGGGAAACATCTAAAACATGCAGGATTGTGGCCCTCGAGGACCAGGATTGCCCACCCCTGATTTACGCCTTTGTGAGTAAGACACACCTTTTCTCCACAAAAAAGTTCATTAATATGTTATAAGATGGTATATTCTTTCAATCGCTGTTTTACTATTTGCTTGAATGGCAAAACACGAATGCCAGTTTCCAATGTAAGACCCATCCATTTGAACCAGCAACTGACAGGGTTAACGTATTTGCTTATTCTGACCTGAACCGCACGAGCGTGGCAACATTTTAATGAACTACAAATTGTGTGCGCACAGCAATACAGCAGCCCAGCCTCTTAACCGCGGCCTCTTACCTCCGCCCTTTGACTTTAAAACCATAGCTGTGCATCGGAAGGGTTCGTTCCGGCGGGAGATGAATAGGGCATTAACAGGACTGAAGCGAGGCCTAACGCGGCGACCTCTGCGCCGTGTCGAGGAAATCATAACGCCACACAGGAGAGCTGCTGCAACAATGGGAGCGTTGCCTGTGCAGCCTGAGTGACTGCACTTGTAATTACCAGAAGAGGCAGCTAGAAAGGCATTACGAAATGATACACATGCTGAGTGAGGCACACACTTGCCTGCTCAGCAGTAGCGACCCACTTTTGTAAAGAAACAAAATCAAGCACTTAGAGCAGAATTTTTAAACAGCACGTAGACTTAAAGAGGCAATTTTTATTTTTTTAAGTTGGTCAGCTGGGGGGCAGCGGAGTATTTATGTAAAACAGAAATTTAAATAACAAAATGTAAATGAACTACAAGAGAATATTTATTCATGACATATGAGTGTTAGATTGTGCCAAACAGCATGCAAAGACAGACATTTTTGTAATTGCATGATCACCCAGGCGGCCCAGTGGGCAATCAGGATTTCAGTGCAATGTGATGAATCAGAAGTTGCTTAATACGGTGGATTATGCGCTGTAGTCTTAAACACTTATTCAGATTCTTTTTTTTTTTGTAAGCCACACGGACAAGTTGGCATCAGCTTTGTTTGGTCCCACAATGCTTTTACAGATTTTTTTGCAGGGGGGGGGCAGGGGTTTAACATGTACCTGGGTGCTGGTCATCTGTTGCAGCTGTTTTCTCCGACCATCTCCACAGACGCTCGTCTCTGATGTGGGAGTACCGGAATCATGTTGACAGCGTGTCAGATTGGACTGTCCTGCCACTCTCAGCTTTTCTATTTTTATCAGAGCCAGAGTTTAGACCCAGGCTTTTATCAGCCACTTGAGAGAAGGAGGGATGGGACAACTGTGAAAGAGGGAGAGAGACTATTTTGCTCGGTTAAAGCTCTGGTATTACCCGCCGACTCGCTACGGTAGATCAAAGTTAAACAACCTTGATGTGACAAGATACTGAAAAGATTCTGTCCATTACCTGATGTCTGAGTGGGAGAAAAGAATTTGTGCAACATTTTTAAAAATGCATTCATGCACGCACTCTATGTGTAGTAAACTGTAGAGAGAGAGAGAGGCTTCGGTCTGGTTCGGTGTGTCGTGATCACAATATGCTCAGACTGATCACCTCTTGACATATTCATCCAGCGACTGGAGCAGTTCCCACCTGGAGTTGTGTGTCCTGCTGAGGGCTGATGTGCAGCCAGTGGCACTGATGTGTGTGTGATTGGCCTGATGAATGGTCATGAGTGCTTTGACTGGCAGAAACAGATGGCACCTTGGCAGGGCTTCGTGGTCGTGCCCTCTGCGGACGTGCCACGTGCAGCGAGCAGCTAATCACCACCCCCCCCCTTCATCAGTGTAATGACCAATTATAGCAGCTTGATGTTACATGTACAACGGCAGGCACGAGACCGATATTTTGACCCAAAATGGCCTACCAGAAAATACCAAGTTTATAACAAGGTGCTGTCAACCCTGTGGCGTTCTCCTCCTGAAAGTTTGTCGTTAATACACAACCAGAAAAGTCAACTCCATGGCAGTGGTATGAATGTGAGAATCAATTACCTCAAGACATGAGAGGCAAACTGGATCTGTGGCCTCATTACCACAATTCACACTGGTCTGAGTGAGGAGCTGGACTTCTTATTGCAGACATTACATGTGGTTTGTTCATCAAAATGGTCTCTGTGCTTGCATGTAGGTAAAACGTTTACATGAATACATCTGTGTGGAATTAGACCACTTACTGGTTTCTTTTTTTTTTCATTTAAATTACAAGAAAGATGGGTTTTCCTGTCCAGTATTGTGTTCTAAAACTCCCTCTGTGGTCGTTAATTAAACCACATTTTTGTGTATCCAAGTTGGTGATTTTAAAGTTTTTTTTTACTTGACAATAATACCTTAAATTCTTTGTACAGTTAAAACCAGAAGTTTACACGCAGTATAAAAAGACACATAACCTTTTTTTCTCACTGTCTGACATTGAACGTGATTTAACTTTTCCTGTTTTAGGTCAGTTAGGATTGCCAAAATTATTTTTATTTGCTAAATGTCAGAATAATGAGAGAATTTTTTACTACTTTCTTCAAAGTCAGACGTTTACATACACTTCCTTAGTATTTGGTAGCGTTGCCTTTAAACTGTATGACTTGGGTCAAACGTTTTGGGTTTCCTTCCACAAGCTTCTCACAATAGTTTGATGAATTCTGGCTCATTCCTCGTGACAGAACTGGTGTAACTGAATCAGGTTTGTTGGCCGTCTTGCTCAACACACCTTCAGCTCTGCCCACAAATTTTCCACAGGATTGAGATCAGGACTTTGTGATGGCCGCTCCAAAACATTGACTTTGTTGTCCTGAAGCCACTTTGTAACTAATTTGGTAGTATGTTTAGGGTCATTGTCCATTTGAAGACCCATTTGTGCCCAAGCTTTAACTTCCTGGCTGATGTCTTCAGATGTTGCTTCAATATTTCCACATAATCTTCTTTCCTCATGATGCCATCTATTTAGTGAAGTGCACCACTCCCTCCTGCAGCAAAACACCCCCACAGCATGATGCTGCCACCCCCGTACTTCACAGTTGGGATGGTGTTCTCAGGCTTACAAGCTTCCCCCATTTTCTCCAAATGTAACGATGGTCATTAAGGCCAAACAGACCACAGGACATGTCTCCAAAAATGAAGGTCTTTGTCACTGTGCACATTTGCAAAGTGTAATCTGACTTTTTTTATGTTGCTTTTGGAGTAATGTCTTCTTCCTCTCTGAGTATCCTTTCAGCCCATGTTGGCCCAGGACTGGTTTCACTGTGGATAATGATTCTCTTACCAGCTTCAGCAGCATCTTCACAAGGTCTTTTGCTTTTGTTCTGGGGTTGATTCGCACATTTCACACCATAAGACTTCATTTCAGGGACACAAAATCCGTCTCCTTCCTGAGCAGTATGATGGCTGGACATTCCCATGGTGTTTATACTTGTGTATAATTGTTTGAACAGATGAACGTGGAACCTTCAGGCATCTGGAAAATGTTCCCAAGGATGAACCAGACTTGTCGAGGTCCACTATTCTCTTCCTGATATCTTGGCTGATTTCTTTAGATTTTCCCACGTTGTCACAAAAGGAAGCAGTGTGTTTGAGGTGTGTCTTAAAATACATCCACAGGTGTGCCTCCAATGAACTCAAATGTTGTCAATTAACAGATCAAAAGCTTCCTAAACCGTGACATCATCATCTAGGCTTTTTCAAATAGTCTGAAGGCATTGTAACCTTAGTGTATGTAAACGTCTGACTTTGGAGAAAATAATGAAAAAGAATTCTCTAAAAAGTTCTCTCTCTCCTTATTCTGGCATTTAGCAAATAGAAATAATTTTGGTAATCTAACTGACCTAAAACAGGAAAAGTTTAGTCTAATTTAATATCAGACTGAGAAAAAAAGAAGGTTATATGTCTTTTTATACAGTGTATGTAAACTTCTGGTTTCAACTATATATATACATACATATATAATTTATACCATAATTCTATGCTGCAGATCTATGAAGTCTCCACCCTGCTCTCCTCTCACATATCTACATGTAAACAAGGCAAAAAAATTGATTTTTCCTGGAGGAGGTCTGTGAGGTCTTTATTAACTCTGTGGCATCTATGGTTACCACGGTAACAGCAAGTGTGGTTCAGTCTAATACTATCGCCAGTACTTGCTGAGTTGCTACGGTTGCAGAGATAACACAGAGGAGCAACTAGTGTATTTGTTTCTAGCATCCCCAAATAAACTCATATTGCTGTAGAAGAAAAAAAAAAAAAAAAAAGAAAGTCAGTCAGGAATAATTGCAGTTGTGATCTGATTTCATGCTGCGCTCGGTGTGATTCGTTTTCCACGGCGCCATGAAGTTTGTTACCTCGCTGAGGAGTTGGTGGTGCACTGTTCTTCATTTCACATCTCAGAGGCAAATTTAGTACTTTTTTTTTTTTTAATTCCCTACATTTAGAGCTTTAATTACTTTGCAAATTAAGATTTTTTTGAACCCAAAACTTATGACGAACACATAAAATAGAATGTTTTGTTCTAAATAACACTAACCAACAGTTTACACAAGTACACCTGAGACGATTAATCAACAGAAAATTGGCAAATATTCTCACAACTAGGGATTTCTCAGTGTTTTCAAAAGCCTGACAAATTAAACAATTAATTAATGGAGCAAACAACCAGCAGATTAATGCACAATACAAATAATCAGTCGTTGAAGATAATGAGCTCCACCTCAACCAACCACAACAGTACAATTACGCTTTTACAGTCCTGCAGGAGGAAGTTTATCTCAATGAAATACTTTTGCTTAAGTGTTATTTTTAATGCACCACTATTTACTCGAAGTACTTCTACAGTGTTGTGTTATCACTAACCTCAAGCGACAAACACACTGCGTTCCTCGTGGCCGTCTCGCCATTTTTTAAATGCGAAGCAGCTGCAGTCGGCTCCATCTGCATTAGCAGTAACTGAGCACGCGGTTGTAAAGAGAGTCAGCGGGAAAGAGTGAAAGAAAATTGCATTTAATTACATGTACGCATAATTTTCTATAAATCCCCCGTGCGTCTCAATCCAGAGCAAGAACCGTCAACTTCACCACTGCTCATTAAAACCATTATGCAGAGACATGAAATGCACTTCTGTTCATCCAAAATACGGTTCAAAACTGTAAGAATCACATGGCAGAAAACAAAAATGATCATTAACAGAAGGCAACTGTGAAATTTCTGTGTGAACTGAAGACAAACATTTGCCCAACGGCTCATGAAGCATTCTTTAGAGTCGTGACTAAGGCAGCTAAGAATATTATCGCTAACCTCACACTGATGCGCTGAGAAAAGCTTCTTTTTTTTTTTCATTTTCCTTTGTAAAATATATTTAATAGACAACAATTTGTCAGACATTGCTCCCTTTGCTCCCAATCCATAAAAAATTAACTTGCCTCATCCTTTGTTCTTTATTGTTGTAGGTGTTTTAGTGTTGTGTTTTTTTTAAATATTAAGGGGTGTTAGTAGATCTCAGTGCTGTGTCATAAATATTAAAGACACATTGTTATTTATGGTGTGTGTCTGCAGTTCATACACTGAAAAAGAAGAAAATGTCATTTGGTTTACAGCAGCAACACAGCAAATTATTGGAAAGTCTAATTACAGTATGAAACAGGAAGCTTCATATTCTGTCGTACTGTACTGTAAAATATCTTTTATTTTTTACTTGCGTGCATGAAGTCAGATTGTTTCCCACTTCCATTCCTGAAGGCACGTTTTTTTTCTTCTTAAAGATGATTTTGTGTTTGTGTCTGCAGGTGAGCACCCTCCGGAGGGAAGTGGCCGACCTCGGGCACGTCATGAGGAGAATGGCTCAGCTCATGGAGACCCTCATGCCATCAGTGCCACAACCCGCAGTCGTCTGCCCCACGCACTGCTCCCCGGCACACCACGCCTACCTGCACCACCCTGCCTCCCCTCAGTCCTACCCGTCGCCGTCCTCCCCTCAGACTGCCTCCATCTGGACGGACACGCCCATGTCACTGCCCTCCTCTCCCCTCACAGCCTCCCAGCAGCACAGTGTGGCATGTCACGTGGACTCCCTCGCACACAGACCACAGGACCTCCAGCTGGGGTTCCCGGCGGCCCCCGGCTCGGCTCCACTTCCGTCAGCCCTCCAACCGCAGCCGTCCTCCGTCACCGCAGAGCCTCACATGCCTTCCTCGCCCCGCAGCTCACCAGAATTTCCCCACTCCATCAGGTCAAGGGTACACAGTCCACCTCCGCAGGACGGGGGAGATGAGGGCCCTCTACAGAGCTCTGGGTGTTCTCCTCAAACTGAACTCGGGGGAGCGTACCACAACCCGACCACGGGTTTGTAGCAAACCTCCATCAGAACTTTCCTGGAGCCTTTTTTTTTTCTCCAGGATTCCATTTTATTGAGGGGGGATATATTCCTGAACTGAACATCAGACTAATCAACTGGGGTCCCCTCATATCACTGGAAGACGTTTACAGGGACGCAACTCAGATTTACTTTTCTTTTAAAGGCACGTGTTTAAAAATCCAGTTGCATGAAAATAAGTACAGAAGGTTTAGGTGTGTTAGCTTTACCTTATAGAAACTTAGTGTTGTTAGATGGTATGTAGAGGTTTGGGTCAGTTGCGGAGCTGAACGGTGGCAGCTCTCTGGGTGCAAGCTCGCGTCCAGCCCCTTCCTCCTCCACCTTGAGGCTCCTTCCAAGAGTGTGGACTGTGCCATAATGGAGGCCAAGACAGATGCATCGGAGGAGGAGGAGGAGGAGGAGGAGGAGGAGGAGAGAGTCGTTTCTTTGCTCTTGTTTTTTTTTTTTGCTCCTGATTAGAGATGGTTTCAGGCTGGCTGGGCTGGTTAGAAGAAGAGAAAGCACCCCCCTTCCTTCCAATCCTCTATCTCTTGCCATTTCCTCTCCTTTTTAACCCTTCCTCTTCTCCTTGCTCACTCAACCCGTGGCAGATGCTCCGGATTGTGTGCGACTGGTTGTGGCTGGTTGGACTCAGGATGGTGTGAGGAGAGAGATGGGACGTATTGTGCTCTTTACCGCTGGCCCTCGGGGGAAGAGAGGAGGGTGGAGGGTGGAGGAAGTCGGTTATGGAGGTGGTGGTGGTGGTGGGGTATGGTTTGCCTCGGGCAGCACAGCCCCTGCTGTCGTCTGTCACACTGAGCACAGGGACTCTTTCTCCCCCTCTGTTTCTCTTTTCCAGTGTCCCTCTCCATACACCTACTATTCTCTCTCTCTCTCTCTCAAACTCCTTCTCCCTTCTTTCCTTCCTCTCTCTTTCTCCCTCTCTCTCTCTCTGCATGCCTTTCCGAGCCTTTTGAGTAGTGCCTGTAGACACACATTAACATGCTGCATGTCACCCTGTGGAAATCCAGCTTGCCATGTATCTATCTATTTAAAGGAAACACGGTTCAGTCTTTTAATAGCTGAACCTGGCATTTACTGATGCATATTTATCGGATGTGGGCTCGATTTAAACAACTTGGTTATTTTTAGGCACTAAGTAGTCGCCCCTGTTCTGAAGTGGCCTGGAGCAAATACCACCGAGACTAAATTGGTTCACGGTCCGCAATGTAGGTTATGTTTTTTTCCTGATCGTCACCCAGGGTTACCAGCTCTGAGGTCCACTTTCGCAGCAGCTGTTTTGGAGCGATGGCAATATTCCCACGTAAAAGCACAATAAGGAAACAAACAAAGACGCTTTTATATTTCTATGAATGTATCAATACTAAAGATGTATTTTTTTACTTCAAAGAATGCAAGAGTGTGGGATGGCAAGAAATGACGTTTCAGAAGTTAGGGCAGTTCTGTTTGCTGGTATCAGCCAATGCAATCCTAAACCAGGAAGAGAAAAAAAAAACAAAGAAAAAAAAAGGTCATAACTCTTGTCCCGACAGATCTACGGTTCTCTTTTTGAATTCATGTAGGTTTGACTCTGCTTCTCTGCAAATGGAATGTACTGTAATCAAACTTCTTTTTTTCCCTTAACATTTTGATATTTATTAGATACAAAATGTTATGCTAATAAACAACAAATATGACTGTTATGTGCTGGCTGTTTTATTTTTGGTTGTTGTTGTGTTCAACAGAGGTATAAAGAGCTTATCGTGACATCCAGGGAATCCACCGTTTTACTTTATTCTACAACAAACATACGCTACATTGCTCACAACACACACGTATAGCACTTTGAATGATTGATCGGGCTGCAATTGACAATTATTTTCATTGTTAATTCATTATTTGTTGTCAATAAAATGTCAGAAAATAGTGAAAAGCATCAATCAGTGTTTCCCAGAGGTCAAGATGACACCATTAAATGTCACGATTTGGCCAAAATCCAAAGATTTTCAGTTTAGAGGAGTAAAGAAACCAGAAAATATTCACATTTTAAAAACTAAAGTGGACTTTAATCTTAAAAAATGACTCACACTGATTGATCAATTATCAAGAAAGTTAAGAGGTAATTAATTTTATAGATGACAGCTAATCAATTAATTGCTGCGGCTAGAGTAATTGTTTAGTGAAGGTGTAAGTGGGTCTTCACAATGTCTGCCGACCTTCAGATGCATGGCGATAGAATGTCGCTGAATTCTAGTTACACTCTGTGATGCTGTATCATGACTGAAAGGCTACAACCAGCACAACTGCAATACTAACTTGCTACTGTCATTATTTCTCCAGGCATTTAGTCAAAAAACAAAGAAACAATTCCGATTTTGAAGGTTTAGGCATCACCATCAAACCAGTACTGAGGGGAAGCATGCAATGTGCAAGTTTCATGCCATTTTATCTAATAGTTGTTGAGGCATTTTGCTCATAAATGTCAACCTCACAGTGGTGCTACGAGATGAAAAGTCACAGGATGACCAAAGTTGTTTGGATTTATCTTCCGGGAAACCCGAATGTCACTGCAAAACGTCATGGCGATCCATCCAGTAGTTGTAAAGATATTTCAGTGCACATCAAAGTGGTGGATCAACCCACAGTCAGACCAGTGCTGCAATACAAACAGCCTCTCTGCTGACTAATGGAAGCATACGGATCATTATTAACATGATATCTTTTCAGGCCTCCTTAAGTGTTTTTGACCTTGTTAACATGTCCATATGTTGTTGTTTTTTTTATATGCTGGAAGACAGAAAATAAACACCATGGCTGACCATTTCCACCTTGGAAATGCCCCAATGACAGTCTCAAACACAGGGATTCAGACTCTCGGGGTTTCATACATAACACAACTAAGGAACCAATCCTGGCATCTTGTAATGTGGGGCCTTTCGTATCATTATGCGTCTTCAGAATCAGTTTCCACTTTGAACACTTGTGGCTAAATTGCACTAATATTACACTTTGTCAGTGTCTAGCCTAGAGTATTTTTACAGTGTCCGAGCAGAGTTGCAAGTGAGCTGGCGTGCTCCAGCTGCAGCTAATAGCAGAAGCATGGGTGGAGATACATGAGGGGACTTAATAGATTCTCACATTTACATCTTACATCCATTTTAGGGCACTTGTAATGCTGTTTTCATGGAAAATTCTTTTATAAAAGTAACTTTGATACAAAAAAAAATTGTTTTAAGGGGTTAAACTAATGACTGGAGAGGCTTTAAGCATCTAAAACTGGTGCCGGTTGTTGGAAATGTCCATAATACTGCTTGCTTGTGCCACATAAATTAAGAAATGAAATGCTACCGTTGTGCAAATCGATTCTAAATACATACCGTTTGGCACATGGTCTGTGGAAACCTTCTGTTTGTTGCAGCTGACATGATGCTGAGTTGTTCCTGCACTCAGATGCCAGGTCTCTCTCATGCAACATGACTTGTTGCTTCCTCTATTAGAACTGTGTATTTGTTTTGTGTACTCGCGTGTGTGTGTCTGCCTTTTGTTCGCTGTGGCTACGGTTCATCTGAGGTGAAAGTGTGCTAACCGCCGTGTCCCACTGGTGACACGGGCAGGGTGGGGGGGGGTGTAAAGCGAGTGTCACACTGGCACACCTGTCATAGGTCCAGCTGCTCTCACCTGGCGAGCCACAGTGTTTGTTTTCGTCTGTCTTGGGAAGAGCTGCGAGGGGAATATCGGATGTATCTAAATTGAATACGTACTCGTTGGAGATGATGGAGATACCAGTGCAGCTACGCGAGTGAAAGCTTTTTAGATATGGATTAGAATACTCCTCTCTTAGAAAATGGGCACGGAGCAGGTGGGTGGGGGTGTGTTTGCACTGAAAATGATTATTTGTGTGTTTAGTAGCATCTCAAGCACATCTGTGGGAATGCTGTCGTTTAGCCCGGGGTCTCGAAGACCCATCCATATTTAATGGTGTACAGACAATCCCATCCTGACTGTTTATGCATCGTTTTATCCACCTGCTCGCAAACTCATCTTTTATTCACCGCTTTCTCACTTTATCTGTCATTAGCAAACCGAGGCCCATCTGGCTTCGTGCTTTGCGCCCTTTCTTTCTTCTTTTTCCCCTTTTTCGCTTGTGCTTTTCAATGAAAGTTCCGTCTGATTCAGAGATACGGAGAGAATGGGAGAGGAAAGCTCTACAGAATCGCTAAAAAGAATGAAAGGAATAATAAATACCGGTTGATGATGTGACACCTGGACGTTCATTTTTAAACTTAACGCAATTAACTCCGTGTTTCACGTCCCTTCCTTTGCCGTGGGTCTTGCGTGTGTTTTTAATCCGCTCGATTCGCATTGTTTGATGATGGCCCTGACCCAAATACAGCAACTATTCATCCCTGTCCACTCTTTTCATCTGAGCACACACAGAAATGCGGCGTGAGCACACACACACACACACACACACACACACACACACTCACATTCACTCTTCCATTCAAATGAGCACTTTATCCCAGTGAAAAGAGCCTCTTCACTTGTCCCTCGGCCCAGATTTCAGCACTAAAAAACACCCTCACTGTGCAGGAGGTGAGAACTTCTCTCTCAGGTAATAAAAATCTAGCTAGTTCTCTCTCTCTCTCTTTTTTCTCTTTCATCTCAGTGGACATAATAGAGATATGTTAGAAATCTGCCAGCTGTGGTGTGGTCTTTCCATTCAAGCCTTACAGAGCTCTGCCTGCCCAAGAGAGAAGTCTAAGCCGTATGCTCTACCAAGGAGTTTGTGTGTCCATATATCTATATATCTATATATCTATATATACACCAAGTGCACGGGCCTATAGAGCACATATGTACATGTGGAAAACAAAGAAGCTCTCCACACAAGGGCTTTACATTTATCTGTTCCACTCTGGCTGAGACCACGACTGCTGTTGCACAACCAAACACTTGCATTTGCATCGGTGTAAAGCGCGAAAGGAGGGTGCGGGG